CTCGAATGTCTTGTCATGGGCATCGTTCAATGAGCGGTTTGAAAGTTTAGTGTTCGGGGGAGTTTTTGTTCCGCCACGTTTATCTAGTGGTCTCACAATGCATGGGCATTTGTGTATTTGAAAGTTGCATTGCTTTTTGTATCATTAGCATCTTAGCGGTTGAAAGCAACGAGGTCGCATTTAGGTTCTTAGTTACACCATCCAGTTATTCTCAATGTACCAGTTGATCTAACCCCCATTGACTTCGTCGTAGCAGAATCAATCAAACTGCATAGAGATAATATGCATAGCAATACGAGCTACTTATCATCAACTAAAAGCAAGCAGGCCACACCCCATCGTTCAGCATTCGGCGAAGTCTGCTGCCCTTTCAAGCAGCAGCAGCAGTAATTATTCCAGAAAGAGATAGGTGATGAGAAAAAGCGATGCTCTAATAACTCTTTGTATTTGAAAGAATCTTGAGATACGGACGTGGTATCAGAGACAATATGCCAAAATATAATGTATATACTACATGCCAATCCAATCGGACATATCCATCAATCAATCAAACCCCTCGAACTCATCATCATCCCCACCAGTAGCTTTAGATTCCTTATCTTTAGCCGCACGCCTGAGCAATCGTTCTTCTTCATTCTTCACCCGGATCTGCTCAAGCATCTTCTCCGTCTCGAGCACCTTTTGACGCTCTTCTTCCGTCATCTTCTCCCATTTGTCCTTCTGCTGACGCGCCTGCTTGGCCTCCCGACGCTTCAGCTTCTTATTCCGGTTATCGAGATTCCTGCTCCACGCGACACTCTCGCTGGAGCGCTTCTTGCCTGCAGCTTGATCGTCCGCGACACCGTTCTCAGCATTCTCCTGTACTTGTTCCTTTCGGCGCTTCTCGCGCTGCTTGTCCTTGTATGCGTAGTTTTCCCAGTCTAGTTTCACGCCAAGTGTCCGGTCGCCTTGGAAGTTTCTCAACTCGGGCATCTTGGGAAGCTTCAGCAGACCCCATGCATTGCCTAGTCCTTCCCAGTCTAGGTCTGCGACGCGGAATATACTGCTGGCTTGGTGCTTGCTGTAGCTTCGGAACCAGCTGACGAAGGCCTTTTGACCGCGGTCGTGCAGTGCGCGGTCTGCGAGGACGGCTTTACGAGCTGTTTCGGTGGCTGCGGCGGCATCGGCATCGGTTATGGTGAGGGTGTGAGGGTACGGTGCGACGGGGGTCTTGCGGACTTCGAGGAAGTTGACGTAGTCTTCCTCGCGGCCGGGGTGGAGGAGGACCACACTTAAACCCTTGCGGCCTGCACGGCCGGCACGGCCGCATCTGTGGATGAAAGTCTTTGGGTCCGAAGGGGGGTCGATCTGTATTACGACGTCGACTGAAGGGATATCTAGTCCACGGGAAGCAACGTCGGTGGTGAGGAGAATGGCGGGGGTGTGAGAGTTGACGAAGCGGTTGAAGTTCTTTTCGCGGACGTTTGCTTGGTGTTTACCGTGCAGGGGGATCAGCTGGAAGTCATCACCGATGATTGAAGGAAGGATTGCGGAGAGGTAGTCGACACCCGAGCATGTTGAGACGAACATGATGGTCTTTTGAGGGGCGGGCTCGAGCGAGTAGAGGATGTGTTTGATGGCAGGGAATTTATGAGTTGGGGGAGCTGTGAGGTACGTCATTTGCAAACTAGTATGTATGTCAGTGATAGGACGCCTTGATGAGGTAGAAATAAGGGTACGAACCTAGCAGGTGTGCGTTTATCCTGAACACCTGACGTGCCCTTTACCTTGACCATGACTTTGACGGGGTTGCGCAGACCAACCCGAACAATCTGATCAACAGCTTCACTGACACTGGCACTGAACAACCCCGTGCGCCGTTGCTTGGGTAGACGGCGCAAGATGTTCTGTAGTGTATCCTTGAAACCCAGATCCAGAAGTCTGTCCGCTTCGTCCATGACAAGCATTTCGAAAGACGATTGAGGGCAGTGGACATGGGGCGAAGAGAGCAACTCCAACAGTCGTCCAGGTGTAGACACCAACAGATTGGGAGACCGCTTCAAGAAGGTACTCAAATCCTCAGCTGGGGTGGTCGAACCGCCGAGAAGGAGCTGCGGGACAACTTTGAGGGTTGAGGAGGGGAATTTCTGACGAGGCGCATCGTCGTCTTCATCGGAGGGTTTGAGACCGGCAGCGGATGGAGGATGGAAAGCAAGCAACGATGTCAGGACGTTGTAGATCTGCGATGCGAGTTCTCTTGAGCGCAACCGTCAGCACTGTACCGCGATGTCTTCACAGAATGACCAACCTGGTTGGAGAGATGATGATGGCTCCGACATGGTGTTTCTTGAGTGGTTCTTCCAGGCGCAAAAGCTTCTCGACAACTGGAATCAAGAAAGACAAGGTCTTTCCACTTCCTGTGACTGCTTCAACTACAACATCCTTATGCGCCATGAACAAGGGAATCGCAGAAGCCTGGACGGGGGTCATGCGGGTGAAACCCATAGAAGCAACGGCATCCAGTACCCATTCCGACAGGGCGGGCGTCACTCCATCCCATGCTCTGGCAGAGGTGCCCGGGGGTGGTTTGGGGGCCATTGTAAGTGTAGCTGTATTCTGTGGTCCTTCCAGTCACAGCCTGGTCCCAGATCAATGCTGACTTGGGTAGAAGATGTTGCGCAGATCCGCCGTAGAATTCCGATCTTTTTTTGCTGATAATTTTTTCTTATCAGAAACGCGGCGATTAGATACCGGAGGCGGTGAGCTCATTCTGCAGGTGCACACGTGATGGACCGCGGATTCGGCGGAAGGAAATCCGGTCAGCTGAAAGTTCAGCTGAGCGTCAACAAGCATCAACTGTCAGTCTGCACTCATCGGTCGCTGGTGCACCTAAAGATAGGAGCGGCGATTACGGATCAATTCTCTTGACTCTATAACTTGCGCTTTTTTTTTCGGTGGTTATGCCGATCCTCTGCTAAGCGTGGCGCGTCATCCGAGGCGGTGTTTCTGCCTGGTGCTACCATCATCATAGAGCCTCACACTCATAATCTACCTTATATTGTCAGGAACATCCTCTGTCGCAATAATTGCCCAAGATTTCGTCGTCAACAGTGTTCAGTCTGCCCATACTCGGCGCCTACTCCTCCAACCCCACCCTTATCTCTCCGCGACCGCTATCCGGGCTGATCCACGGCCCAATCCTCCCACCTTTCTCTATACCTGCAGCCGATATGCCTTCTGAACCCGGTTCCATACCGGAGACTCCTCGAGTCATTCCTCCTTCTCCCGCTTCTTCTGAGCGCCGGTCAAGCTCGGGCGATTACTTTGGACCTACAACACGCTCCGCAGCACGACGGCAGCGACTTGGGGAGGTAACGGAAGAAACACCTGATACCTCAAACTCAGATTCGAAACGCTCACGAGCGCGGTCTCGCAGCCCAAAATCTCCTGAATCTACAAGGCGCCGTACCCGAAAATCTAATCCGAAGTTGCCCGCAGGAAAGCCCAAGAAGCAGACGAATGGTCATGCGGAGTCCAACGGGTATCTATCACCTATCGCGAAACCCGGCGGCAGCTGGCACGACATCTCCCGATCTCCCTCTCCTCTCGGTCTCATACCTCTCCACAGCCGTTATCGCTCCTTTATACACCGTCATGAGATCCCGCGCAAACTTCTCCATGTATCGATCGGCTTCCTCACCCTCAACTTGTACAGTCGCGGCATTCAAACTCTCCAGATTACACCATGGCTCTTCGGAGCTCTCGTGCCGATAGCTACGGTAGATATCGTCCGTCACCATTCCACCAAGGTCAACAACATATATATCCGCTGCGTGGGGGCTTTGATGCGCGAGACGGAGGTTTCCGGCTACAACGGCGTGATCTGGTATCTTGTGGGCACATATGCAGTGCTGCGCTTCCTCCCAAAAGACGTCGGAGTTATGAGCGTACTGCTCCTCAGTTGGTGTGATACTGCAGCGTCCACATTTGGTCGTCTCTACGGCCGTTACACATTCCAGCTGCGCAAGGGCAAGAGCTTCGCCGGGACACTGGGAGCCTGGTTTGTGGGTGTCCTGACCGCAGCCGCATTCTGGGGATACTTCGTACCATACATTGGAACCTTCCCCAATGACCCCGAGGGATCGTTCATGTTCACCGGTCAGCTTAATCTTCTTCCTAGTTCGATTAAGAACCTCATCGGCTGGACTGCGGACACCCCCAGCGCTGTCATTTCGGGCCCGTTGGCCCTCGGCGTTATGAGCGTCGTCTCCGGCTTAGTCGCCGCCGGAAGTGAGTTCGTGGACATCTTTGGCTGGGATGATAACCTTACCATTCCGATTTTGAGTGGTATCGGATTGTGGGGTTTCCTGAAGGTCTTTGGTTGAGCAAACTACTGCAGCCAATGCCGTTATACCTCCCCTGTTTTGTTCATTACCACAGCACTGCCATGGCTTGGATAGTCGCTGAAGCGCGCGACAGGCCGCGAGCCGCAGTATCGACTCATCATTCATTTTAACCCTCTTTTCCTTTTCCTCTGTTCAATCACCTACCTATCCTGTCTATTTCTTATACATACACCCGATTACCCCATGACCAATCACATCACCACTCTTCTTCTCTTTGAGCTCTCACTCGATTACCCCCCTGTTTTGTACTACTCTGAAGGGGAAAGACTTTGGAAATAATTACTTTGGCCCGCAGAAGGACTTTTGTTTAATGATTACTTAGATAGATATCCTGGATCGGCGTGGCTTTGGCGCTTGCAAATTTACACAAACACACGGGCTACTATCCACTTTTTTCATCCTCTATAGATGTTGTAATGACGTGGAGTGACTACATTCCTGATGTCCAGACTTTGATGTATATCATGACTTGTATGCCAGTGTACAAAGAAGATGTTTGACTCAGAACTGGGTCCCGAAAGCGATGCGCCTATAATGCATGTCCAAAAGTTTAAGGTAAGGCAAGACCTGGATCAAGTATTGTATAAGACCAATGCACAATTCTCTCATTGCTGCTCAGGTCAAGTCCAAGATGCTCACACGGGCGATCCGCTTCTTCTTGCCGCGACTGGTTCGACTGTCGGTCGTACTTGCAGCTTCTGCAGATCCAGTTTTTGAGCTAGTGTCTGTCGTCCAGAACCCGTCGTGTACAACAACAGATTCAATGTGTGAGACTGTCGATGGACTGTCGTCTTGCTTTTCAGAAGATTTGCCTTTCCGAGGCTTGAGCTCCGTGGGCTCGCTCGTTGAGGACGATGTTTGTGTCCGACTCGAGGGATTCTCACGATCCCGGCGCTTTCTTGTATCTACAGCATTATCTTCTTCTGATACCAAGACAGGCTCGCCGTTCTCCACAGAAGGCGAAGGGCGGGCTATGCGCTCGGCGGCCCCAGCAGGGCCAGACCTGGTGTTATACACCTTCTTCTGGCGCGAGCTTCTTCGAGGCATGGGCCCAGTATCATCTAGGCAGATGAGTTCTGTGGCGTCCTTGCGCGATTGTGCGTCATCCATTGCTATGGAAGATATCGCTTGTTGTAGTTTATCAACCTCGCAAGCAGACGTTAGTTTGTCTCCTTTGCGCCGGGGCTTCGATGCATTTTGGCGGCCTGCATGGTTCGGAGATATCGAACGAAGTGCAGACTTCTTGTCGTCTGTCGCATCCCCCTTCCGCATACAGCGTTTTGAGCTTGCCTGGGCATTCTCTTTGGTCGGCGAAAGAGCTGGAGAACTCTCTGCGGAAGCCAACTTCTTTGTCTTTGGAACGGTGGCATCTGTCAAAGCAGGCTGTCTTCCAGCTCTGCCACGTGCTCGGGTTGTTCTGGGTGACTGCTGTTTGATAGTTGTGTAGTACGGTGCATGACTCAATGAAGAAAATTTGTCGATTAGATCATCGAGGCTCGGCGAATCGTCACTTGAGTCAGTCAATGGCTGCTGCTGTATGGATATGTCAGACGCTGATGGCTTCCTTGAAGGATTAGGAGAATCTTGAGACTGACGGGAACTCGACAGGCTAGGTACAGCAGTTGCTTTGGCCGAGACTGCTGCCTCTAAGAGCTGCGCACTTTTGTGGCGGGATATTTCGGTTCGCTCCTTCGTGAGGGTACCATATTTCAAGATGCTACCTCGCTTCATGTTCGGGTCTATAGGCCCTTTTTTCCTAGGCCCTGTCTTTCGCGCCGCTGTTTTCTTCGGCGCCAACTTTTCAGCTTGCTCTCGTTCCCAGTTCTTCACGACATCTGGGAGTCCTATCGAGGCTAGGGTTTCGAATATCCACACCTTCTCAAAGGAATAAGGATCATAGCGCTTTACGACACGTTTCTTTACCGGGGATTGAGGCACCGATACCACATTATCATCCAGTTCCTCCTCCTCGTCCCCTGAGACCGTCGACTCTTGAGAAGGAAGTGGAGGATTTGGCTCGTCCGCAAGAATGTCCAAGCCAACAATGTCGACAGGAATGATTTCCAGCTGAAACTCCTTCAAGCCGTCGGTACTATAGCTAGATCTGCTTTTATAGATCTTTTGCAGCATCGGCGTGTTGCTGTTCGACAACGTAGGGCAGTTCGCGGGAAATGCTGATGCTTGTCTTCCAAGGCGTAGTCGGTAGGATAGAAGCGGCTCAGAAAGTAATCTGGTCACTTTTCTAGCCCCAGAGCGGTAATTCCACTCAAAGGCGTCGGCAGCAAATCTCCTCAGTTCGACAACGTCTATGTCCTTGTCCCAAGCATTTGAGAGGTTGTGTTGAAGGGCTCTGATTTCGCCTGTCGAAGAAACCACAGGATTCGCATAATACGACAGAATCGTCCGATCAGGAAAAGTGTCGGGAATTCGGACAACCTTGTGCTTGGTCTGAAAGTAACCACTTTCATTTTCTTCCAACTCATACTGGAGTCGCTCTCTCCAATCGCTTAGTCTGGCATCGAGCTCGGCGCCATCTGACTCAAGGATCTCAAGAAGATCTGCGCCAAAGCCAGCTTTGGCAATCTCGCCAGCGAGCTTGCTACCGCATTTAGGGACTCCCGATGGCAAGTAATCACCCCCACTCAACATGGCAAACAAGATCATGCCTGCACGATCAAGCTTTACACTCGAAGGATCGCCATCGGTGTTCATGCGGTAGCAGGTAACATGTGTTGCAGCCCCGGTGCTGCTGCCACTTTCTTTGGAAAAGCCCATGACGGTAAATGTTGAGCCAAACATAAGAGCGTCAACGTCATTCGTCATGACTGCATCAACAACTCCTGCTCTTTGCAGTCTTGCACACTCTGCTTCTGCCTCTCCTGGCGCCTCGTGACGCGGAAATTTGAACAGATCGACTAAGATCTTAGAGAGCCGAATGATTGGTGCACTTCCGTAACTGCGACTTGACACGGCTTTGCCTCTCTTGAAAGGCGGCTTGTTCTTGCCATCATATACAAAAAGAGGATGGATTGGAAGCGCTAAAATCTTCAATAGTCTGTAAAACAACGTTCGTAGCTCGGGGTTTCGACCACCCCGGCCAGCTTGCACTTGGAACAGCCATATCGAGATGTCCACGGCAATACGAATAGGCCTAGCTGTGCGCTCCAAATGGGTTATGGCCAATTTTGACAAGGAAATACGTTCACCAGCGCCGATGGCATGGATCAGCCTTTGTGTTCAGTGGATTAGCTGTTGAACTACTTCAATCAATGCTGTTTGCCCACTGAAGAGGGATAATATATTTCTCTCCTGAGTGAAGTTCCACAAAACAGCACCTACAAAACTGGCTGACTTACCCCGGAATCCCCATTCGGACAGCGTCCCTTGTTCCCAACCGTCAAGATACCAATAGAAAACAAAATTGCACTGCAGCTCAAGCTCTCTCTGATGGCGAATACTAATGCAATGATGAGTTGTTTGTTGACGGCGGCAACTGGGCGACGCGGCCCGATGTAGATCCGCCCGCCTAGAGCCTCCGCAGATTGTCGCGGCTTCCTTTTCGCGGTCGCCAATCGCCATTTGCCAATTGCCCCCAATTCGGGAGTCGTTTTTCTAAGTGGAAAAGTTGCTGGCAGAAGGTATGATATAAGCCTTCTCATATCAAGCGCATAGGTCGAGAGGAAGTATGATCTGCGTGGGGCCCCTGAAGCAAGTTGACTTCTATCTCCGATCCTTCCCCGCGATTTCCATAGAGCAGCGACCCTTGCGACTGTCTCAGCAACTCATTCGGACGACGACATGACAAGTACATCCTCCACCTCCGCTTTCGACGATAGGCGACCCATATCCATGAGCTTCCGTCACAGCCAATCTGGGAGACCTGATTCGCCCCATACTCCCCAACATCACCTCCGTTCCAACAATTCTTCCTTTGCAAGCACCTCCTCCGCAAGCACATCATTTCGCGGAGAAGAAGATGCTATTATATTTGAATTTGGAGCTAGATGGCTTCGGGCAGGGTTCGAGGGTGAAAGCACTCCAATGTGTGTGGTTGGATGCGGTCCAGAGGAGTCGAGAAGGGTTGGCGATTACAGAGGGTGGTTGAGAAGCAACAACGAGACGGACTCATCACGCTCGCAACCAGTCAAAGCCGACGAATGGGCTGGTGCATATGAGCTCTGGAAGATGGATGTACGCGATATGGATATGGCACTCATTGACGACAAGATTGAGCGCATGTTTCGCGAGACCTACAATAAATACCTGTTGACAGATGCGGGAACATCACGACTGGTTCTGGTGCTTCCGTCTATCATGCCACACCCTCTCCTCTCATCGCTTTTGTCAACCCTTTTTAGCCGTTGGCGATTTCCAAGCATCACCCTTTTAACCAGTGCTCCTATGGCCGTGGTCGCAGCTGGGCTGCGTTCAGGCTTGGTAGTGGATATTGGATGGGCGGAAACCGTTGTCAGCGGTATCTACGAATACAGAGAGATGGCAGTCAAGCGCAGCACGAGGGCTATGAAGTCCCTACTGCAGGAAACTGGACGGTTCCTGACACGACTCTCCGTTGACAGCGGGGCCGCGCAATCGGCGGACGAAATTTCCGTTCATTATGAGCTCTGCGAAGAAATTGCCAGTCGGTTCCTGTGGTGTAAGCCCAAGGCAGCTTCCCAAGGCTTCACGGCGACACCGCAGCAACAGCCTGCCGAGGCACGAGAGGAGGATGCTGGAGCGGCTGACCAACACACTATTTCACACTCAGATGCAACGGTGTCGCTTCCCTCCCCGTCAGGTTCAGGATCAACCTACATCGACCTTCCTTTCTCCAAGCTCGCGGAACCGGTGGAAAAGGTTCTCTTTGCGGAGGGCTTAGCCGATTGCGAGTTGGACGACGAGGAAAGACCGTTGCCGTTGCTGGTGTATCATGCCCTGCTTAGCCTGCCTCCCGATGTCCGCGGCACGTGCATGTCGCGTATTGTTTTCATTGGTGGAGGCTCCAATATCCCTGGTGTCCGACAGCGCATCCTCCAGGACGTGGCGTTCCTGGTGGAAAAGTATGGCTGGTCACCTGTCCGCGGCAAGGTTATCGAGCAGCAACGCCAAAAGCTTGAGGGTCTAAGACTCTCTCAACCAACTAAGCCGACTGTCACAAAGCAGGCGGGTGAAAACGAGACCCCCGATGCTGCTGCTGAGCGCTCAACTCCAGATGCACAAGCAGAAGAAGAGGTCGACCCCATCGAGCAAAAGATCCGTCGTAATAACAAAGACAAGGATACCCACCCGCCGGTCCACGGTGTCCTGCGGGAGGTCGAATCCCTTGGACCCTGGGCAGGAGCCAGCCTTCTCACGAGTCTCAAGATCCGGGGCTTAGTCGAGATTGAGCGGGAAAAATACCTCCAACATGGCCTCGCAGGAGCTAGTCGGGATCTGGAGCATGGGTATGCTCCTGATAGGCGCTCGGGGTTACGCACGGGAGGCGACCGGTCTAGTTGGACTTTGGCTGGCTGGGGTTGAATCTAGTCTCATTTCCCCCGCATGGCCGCGCTAATTTATGCGGCCTGGTCAGACAAGCATTAGATATTGGGGATTCGAAAATTTTTTTTCCATCGTTGTCTATTTCCTTCTCCTCCCCCTACGGAGTAGTGCTGGCCGCACCACCCTGAACTCACACTGATTTTGTTCTCACTGAGATTGTCGAAGCAGTTAGCAGTAGATACGATACCCGTTACAGTCTTACAGCATATTTAGAAGCAATGTCTTTTCTTCCCATTATTATTCCTTGAGCATTTTTGAAGCACTCAGTAAATTTGCTTTGTACGTGCCATTGCTAGTCCAGATAAAGACAGATGGCGCATCAGATTATGTACACACGATCGTAGGTTTGTTGAGCACGTAATCAGGTCCCCCTCAACCTTTCCTCGATTCTTCCCCCACTTACACAGTACCAAACTGGTAAGTAGCCCAGTTAACAGCGGGCCCTGTCTCAGGAGAATAGATCTGGTCCGACAATTGACCCCACTGAGGGTTGTTAATACCGTCAATCCAGCCCTCAGTCTCAATGACAATGCAACCATGCTCATTGACGTATTCAGCGCCATCGACACCCTCGGCCTTGTTGCGCTGGACTTGCGATTGCTTGACGGGGATGGTGCCGTTCTGGCTGTTGCAAGTGTAGATCTGGAGAGCTTGCTGGTTGGTAGCGACGTCGAGGCTGATTCCGGTGGTGCTGGAGTTCATGTGGATGATCGGGACGATGGAGTTACGAGCTGCGTATTGAGGAGGGCGATCTACGATGAAGCAGTTGTCATAGCCGGTGCAGTCATCGCCGCAGAGTCCGTCGGCTTTCGCGATGTCTTGGCCGACGAGTTTGCCGGAGACGAAGTCCGGGGCGCTGTCGTAGACGTTGACGTCGAGGATGGTGCCGTTGGGGATTAGGATGCCGTCTGTGCCGATGAGGCGCTTGGAGAGTGGCAGCTGGAGCCAGGTGTCTTCGAGGATGGTCTCATCCTTGAAGGCGTTCAGGTTCCAGTAGATGTGGTTGGCAAGCATGATTGGGGTTGTCTCGGTCAGGGCAAGAGAGACGAGTTTGGTGGTCAATTGAGGGAGACCTTGGGGGTTCTCGGGGGTGACTTTGGTTTGCACGCTGAATGTGGCATGGGTGATAACGTCTCCGGGGAAGTCTTCGAAGGCACGGTCAACCAGGGTGAATGTGATGGAGGAATTGCTGTACGCGGTTACGGTCCAGTTGCGCTGGTCGTAGCCTACGGTACCTCCGTGGAGCGTGTCTTCACCGTCATTCTCATTCTCGGGGATGTGGTACACATCTGAACCGATCGAGAACGTGCCGTTCTTGATGCGGTTGGCGTATCGGCCGACGACGGCACCGAAGTAGGTGTGGTTGGTCTCAGTGTCCTTAAGATACTGCTTGGGGTCGTCGTAGCCTACGACGACATCCTGGAAGTTGCCGTCGCGGTCAGGGACGAGGAGAGAAGTCAAGCGTGCTCCGTAGGGGATGAGCTTGGCTGTGATGTTCTCTGCGCTGATGGTATAGAGTTGGAAAGGGTCCCCTGTGGACTTGGCAGCAGCAACTTGGGTCAGTGCTGGCAGGCCGTACAGGACGGCAGACAGGTAGCTTCTAACGTGCATTCTGACGCCTAAGAGAATGGTAACGAGGAGGAAGAAGCAGCAATATATGACCAAGATACGAGGGGTGATCCGGGCAGGGCAGAGCAGAGAGCGGCAGCAGCCAAGAAGCTGGAGAGGTCCCTGGCCGGATCGGGTGGAAGGTCTCATAGTATTTATTTACAATTGAATTGGACTTTTCTTTTTACCTCATGATGGCGCGCCTGACCAGCGGGCGGGGGAAACCAATGCGCAGGGACCGAGAAACTGGGGTAGGAATGCAGCTAATTCCTGGATTGATGTTTAGCTCATTCACAAAATACCCGAGCAAAGGCGTCATCTTACCAAGGGTGTGAGCTAAGGTAAGTGTGCCAGGGGTCCGGAGCCAAAAAGCATGGGTGACTTTGCCTCGTACTCCCTATAGTGCAGTAGCTGTCACAATTGCTTCTGGGGCTGGGCCAATGGCGTAGGGCGGGAGAAATTGGTCCGGGTCTGACCACAGTCTGAGCGCAAATGAAAAGATCGGATAAAGTGAGTGAATTGGGCCGGAGAAGCTAGGATCAACAGGTTTCTGGCCGAACGAGGGCGAGCGTGGTGGTGAGATGTGATCCCCTTAGTCTGGAGGCTAAAGTATCAATCTGGTAGTAGCGCAAAATGAAGCCACGGAAGACATTCCAAGCCCCAGGAATTGAGCTAGTCTTCTTCGGGAAAGTCCCGGCGGGGGAAAAGCTAGAGGTTGCGGGGAAGGCAACCGGCCTGTCGATCATCGATTTCTCTCTCTTTGCCGTCGCTCACTCTTACGAGGTGACATCCTGCGATAATTGAAGGTGTCATTCGGACGTGATTCAGTACATTTTGAACGAAGCTAGAATAAACGTTCCACTAACAGCAACATCACCAGCATTCAGACGGGGGGAAACAAGGTATGGACAAGAATGATTACTCTATAGAGTTTATCATAAGGATGGTAGTTATGGGTCCGGATTGCTGTTTGGGTACTTCTGCCGCCCCGTAGTCACTCGGCAAGGAACAACAATCCCGCCGGATAACCTAAGCATCTTCCCTGCCGGTCGCTGGGGCTGCCTGATCGGGAGACTTGTTTATGTTATGCGACGATTTTATCAGATTTTCTACAGATTGAGAAACTGTTTTTGGTGGCCGAAACCGTGTCTGGGTAATCTGCTTCCAGACGCGACGACTAATCTTACCTTCAAGGACCGAATATGAAAGTGTTCGACTAGCAAAGCCGATTGAAGTATTTGAATCCGGTGTCGTCCTTATGAGACGCGACGGGGGGTCACAAATCACCCCTCACATG